CACACTTTTTGCCCTCAGAGAAAAATGTTGGCCTGCATGTCACAGACTATAGTTAATGCAGGAAAAGATACATATATCTTACTTCATGGAACATGCAGCTTAAAGAGAATGTGTTTTAGTTGAAGTGGTATTTCTTCACATGTTCCCTGTAATAAGATAATCTGAAAATACAGAACAGAATTTCTGTGGGAAAAAGGTGTGGAGGTGAGAACACAACACAAACCTGATGTACACAAACTTTATTTCATTTAAAAGGAGAGGAACAGACTCTAAACTCACTACTTCAAGTGATTTGCAGAGTTTCATACAAACGTGACAATATCATAAAGCAGCTACATAACAAATAATTTGGAAGAAAACAAAACTGAATCTCTGAGTGAGTCAGAGGACGACTTTGAAGCAAACTTTTTAGCACAATAAAACAATGTTTCATCTAATAGTCATGTTTCCTGAGAAAGATTTCTGCTGCTCATCTCATTGACCTCATTTCCTCCTGCCTCCCTCCAGAGTCACCAACTCTCCTGTCAACACCTCTGACCTCCCGCAATCCCACCAACAGCAGCCCACCCACCTACACACACAGGCATGATGTACAAATCATAGTGAGTGCATGGAGCAAACTGTGTAGCCTGAAATGTGTGACTCTTTTTATTCTATTCACACATGAGGGACAATATCATGGGATCTGGATACTCTGTGTATAAATGATGAGAAGTTTATTTTGAGGATTAATGTGTTTTTGTTCTTTTCATATTCAATTAGATTGAATAGATCATGATTTTTATTTTGATCTGCACCAAATTTCAAACACTCTAAACATTCCTGAATGAGAAATTATTTCACAATATTAAATAAAAGGTCCAGCAAAAAGATAAATGTAATAGGTTCATTCTTGAGGAAAATGTTTTACTTATTTTCTTTTCCTGGTGTTTTCTTAATGCACCCAGATCCAGTTCCTTTATCCCCCAACATGACACTAAGGTCTGGGCTGAGACAGACTTTCTTCTTTTAATGTTAATTATAAGGTACCTGTGAAAAACACAGAATGAACTTTGAAGCTGACCCGTGAGAAACCTTGCTTGCCTACATGTGAATTCAATTGACCAGAACTCCCGTGAACCAGCAGAGCCATCAGCTCAGCAAAGGGTGTGAGGACACTGACCAAATGGCTAACTGGTAGATGGGAACACTTTATATCAGCCTGTCCC